TTTCTAAGCACCAAATACTCCCAACAGGGGAGTTTTGCCAGAGTGAGGGTTTAATAGGGAAATGGAAGCCTTGGCCCAGTGTTCTCCTTCCCAACCCACAAAGAAGGAACAGTACAGCGTGTCCTGGGCCCACAGCAAGGCTGTGCCTGGTGTAAATCAGCCTTTGGTGTTGTCAGAGGGGCCGGGTCCTTGGCCAGGACTGAGGTCAGCACAGCTTGCTGAGTTTACAGCAGTGAATTTCCTCTGCTGAGCACTGGGCTATGACAGTGTCTGAGGATGTTTTGGAGGCTGCTGATCAGCAGATCCAAAAATCCAATCGAGTCCTTGCAGTGATTAGGAGAGGAAGATAAACATGTGTGTGTGTGAGCAGGAGAGAGAGGAGGGAGGGAGACATCTCGTTAGCACAGGTTGAATTGAGCAAATCCTGTCCCTTCCAGGGGCTTGGAATGGGGTGAGGACAAGCAAGGTCTTGGTGGCAGTGGTAATGAGAGGAGCCCCTGACAGGTTTCCATCCTGCAGGGAGTGATCACTGTCTCCCTCTTTCCAGGGCAAGCCGGGTTATTAAAAATGTGATAAGAATCGAGTCAGGGAGCGAGGCTGTGCTCACACAAATGGGATGCAGAGCAAGATCAGCAGCTCAATCAATACAGCTGGAAGGAGCTCAATAGCTGATGCAGGGAGTGCTGAACAGCAAACTGGGCACTGCGGGGGGAGCAATTAGAGGAGCCACTCGCTGGCAGTGCAGGGGAGGCAGCTCCTCACTCGGAGACACATCTGCATCCCAGGCAGGTATGACACTGGTATTCTGGGCACAATAATTCCCAGATATAGGTGGGATAGATAGGAAACTTTGTTTTTAATTCTTTCCTATAGAAAACAGCGTAATTGTTTGAAGAAGTAAGTTCTTTTTTTAAAGAAAAAAAATCATCTTTAATGAAGAATTGTATTTCTATATTTTTGTCAGACCTTGTTTCAAAACTCTATGCCATCACCACCTTTATGTGCCAGTTAGGCCTTATCCTGCTATGACAGAGCAAATCCTTGTAAATCTGGTTTAGCTCACAACCAGCAACGACACCAAATCCAAGCTGATGGCTCTAAAACCATGAACTGCTGAGCTTTTATTAGCCAGGTTCTCCCAGTGATCTGAGTGCTGGGGTCACTCCACACACAGGATTTGTCTCCTGCTGTGAAGTGAGAGTGCAGGTCGAGTGCTTGCTGAAGCACGGGAGTGACTTCATCCTCTAATAACTCCTCCAGCATTTTCTCCCAGGGAAGCCCTTTGTATTCAATTAGCTAATGTGTGCCTAGCACTTGGAAAATATAGAGTGCCATAGAATTGCTAAGTGTTGTTATTTAACAGCACATATTTAGGTGGTTGCAGCCCTGTAGTAGTAGAAGTCAGAGCATCTACACTGTAATTGCCTGGTGCTGCTGCCGAATTTGCCGTGATTAGAGCAAAGCCTGGGGATTTTTCCTCTGTAAAAGTTCATTAATTTTGGCTGCTGGCCCTCTGGGGCTGTTTTTCCTGAGACCTCTTGAAGCAGAACGTTGACTTTTGCTGGGTGTTTAAAAAAAAAAGAGTGAAAAGAGAGGGAAGAATTCAGGATTTGTGTCCCTGGAGTTCACCTTGGCCTCACTTCTGGTGGTCTCCTCTGTGCTTCAGGCTGGACTGAGGTGGAGGGCAAAGTGTTGGTCTACTACTGCAATTGCTGCAGTGTAGGAGGAAGGGGGGCAAATAATTGTTAATGGAATAGAGATAATAAGGGAGATGCTGTTTGCACCCATCTCTTTAATTCACATCACCTGCCATTGCCTGAAAGCCTGTGGTTACCAAGCTGTATTTGTGCAGGTGGAGGAGGCTTGGACTCCCCTTTTAAACAGAATGTGGGTTATTTTCCTAATGTCTCCCTGCTCTTACTGCATTGGGAAGTTATCTTCTAGCCTTCAAAAGCACCAGTGTAGGAATTAGGTCCCTCAGCTCTGTCTAGCAGCTGAGGCAGGGTGGTAGCTTGGGCAAAAGTCAGTTTTGCTCTTGTCTCAGTGAGAAATCCTTGGATCTCCATCTGAAAATACCCTTGAGGTCGGGGTTTTCCACCCCTTGTCCTGCCCGTGTTTGCCTCCTGCCATGGGAAATCAGCTGAGAGGTGGCAGGCCTTGAATGGCAAATGAGTTTGTGTTTGCAAAACGTGGGTTTGGAAATGTCAAGCGTGGTGAATGAGTGTGTAAAAAGGGGGAAAAAAAAAAACAAAAACAAAAACCAAACAAAACACACAAAAAAAAACCAGACAGGGACAGAAGCTGAGCTGAGTATCTGGATGCTCTCACCCCTCTGCCCTCCTTGCAAAGCCTGACCTTACCAAATCTCTCTTATCCCACTGCAAATGAAGTGTGTCCCCCAAGGGTGGTTTATCTCCATCTCATTGCTTAGGCAGCTCACGGCTCATTTCCCCCTGACCTGGCTCTGCAGAGTGGTTTTGTGAATATCTGGTGGAAAAAAAACGTTTAAAGGCAAGAAAGAGATTGGAGATTGAGCAGAGGGAAGGGGCAAGGAAGGAGCAGTGGAGGGGAAAGGGTTGGGTACAGGCTGTGCCATCCCCCTCTCTTACAGAGGTGCTGCTGCTTTATGGACAGGACAGCCACAGGAACGGGGTTTTTTGCAGCTGGAGGCTTACCTGGAAAAAGATGGATGTGGGTGGGGGAGTGTTGGCTGTGGAAAAAGACCAAACCAGCCACTGCTAATGAGAGCTGGGCAAAGCTGCTGCTCACATTTGAACCGGAGCAAATTGGTGTCTCTGGGGGGAGCGTGTCGGGGTCTGTCTGCGGTTGCTGTGCAGGCAGCGAGCCCTGGCAGCTGCCTCCAGCCCCAGGGAACTTCCTCAAGGAAAAGGGGCTGATGCAGGTGGGGATCCCTCCAAAAACTCTGCCACGAGCCGGGCGAGGGGCCAGGACTGGCCACGGCACTTGGAGCAGACAGAGCTGTGGGTTCAGCTGCGTGGCTGGAGCAAATCTCACCCCTTCCTCGGCTTCCCTGGGTGAAGTGAGACCAGAGGGGCTCATTCCCTCACCCACTAGTTGCCAATTAAGGAGCAGAGAACAGCAAACCTGCAGCCTCCAAAGCTTAGGGATGTTTTCAGGGGAGAAGAGGCACAATGGATAAATGCAGCGAGGGAGGCAGGGGCGGTCTGGCCTGAGAACGAAGCCTTGGACTGCGTGGCTGTTCTGGTGCAAAAAAACCCCATTTTCCTTCTGTGTGTGTACAACCAAGCCAGGAGGGCAGTCAGTTTGCCTCGTGCCCTGCCCGATTTGCCTCCCAGCTCTGGCTGCAGGGAGAGATGGTATTTTTCCGGGGGGCTCAGCGCATCTCCCGCTGCTCCGTTTGCATCCAGCATCTCCTCAGGCCCAGCTCCTCATTAGCCACCTGCCCTCGTTGCACGGGCTGACAGGATGCCGTGGGTAAATGGATAACCTGTCAGGGAGGCAGCAGGATAATATCATTCAAATGAATCAATAGTTCACAGGCAATTTCATGTTACCCAACGCTAATGTGGTCGTGTCCAAAACGCACTTAATCCTGTGTCTGATCACATCCCCGTGGGAGTTTGCCTGGGCTGGAACAGTCTTGTAAGTCCATGTTTTGGAGATTTACAGACACTGTTCCTGCGTGCCTGGGAACGCAGCAAAGATTAAAAAATGGCCTGGCTTGCTGAAAATCTCATACTCCACAGAGCCCAGAGACGTCCGTGCTAGTGATGGAGGAGAATGGGCATCCAGCAGTTCCTGAAACTATTATTACTCCCACCTTCCTGCTCCATTTTAGCAATTAGCAAAAGAGAAATTAGTGAGGAAGGGGCCATTATTTCCTGCTAATAGGACAAGAAGGGTTGGACCCTTCTCCAGGAATCTGTCGTGTAACTAACTGCTTCCATTGATGTGAGGAGCAAAGGAGGGTTTCCCCTTTTTTCCTGTAATTTTTTATAATCTGCAGTCATTTTTAGGCATTAGACCTCTTTGCTTTTTAGAACTGTAAGGGGATACTCCCAACTCCAAACCCCACAGTGGAAGCACCTTCCCACCCTCCACGGGGCGTCAGGGTGTCCCGCGAGTGGCATCTCCTCCTGGTTCCTGGTGGTGCTTCAGGATTGGGTTGTTAGGATTAGGTAGGTCAGGGTTAGGTTCCTCCTCTCCTGTGGGAAGGAATTTAACAGTTTAAGCTCGGTGTCACCAAATTGGTGGTGGTGGTGGAGCAGCTTCACTCAGCAGATGATGTTTGTCACCCAGGCTGGGGTCCAGTTCAGAGGAAACTCAGAAGAAAAAGGAAAGGAGGTTGGTTTCTCTCCAGACATGGGTCTCCACAGGTGGCCTTGGTGGCTTGGGGATCCCTCCTGCCCTGGGTTTGGATGGAGAACCATTGCTGGTGTCCTCCCATCGCCTGGGGCTCTCAGGCACAGCAATGTTTTCACAGTGAACACAGCAGGGATATGGTTTTTTGGGAGTGCCTTGGAGAGAGAAAGAGCAGTGCTTGGGAAATATAAATCTCAGTGTGCTCTGGACCTCCCACAACAGAGCTGACCTTCTCTGGGCTGTTGGAGCAGGTTACTGGCTTCATCTGAAATACATCATCCACCTCCCTGCCTGGGCTGTGACCTCGGTGTCACGGGGAACTCCTGCCAGAAGGGGTGGTTTGTAACTCCAGAAGGAACACCACGCTCAGGTGTGGTTGGCAGGAACCACAGCTGGGGAATGGAAACTTTCCAGAACCCTTTCTGCAGGGTTTGGGGTTTTTTTTTTGTTGCAATTTGGCCAGTATAACCCTGGACTTGGCTGACAACTCCTGTTTAGCACCCAGACCTTCCTCACCAACAAGTGGGTGGGTTTCATCCCCAATGTCAGGTCTCATCACTCCACAGTCCCATCTTCCCTCCAAGGCTTGGGTGGTTTTGAAGCTCTCAGTGCCTGTTTTCTCCTCTAATCCCACTTTCTGCTTTGTGCTGCTTTAGGAGTTTTCCCTCCAACGCCTGGACAGCCTGTTGGACGACAGAGTCAACATCCTGGGATTTTCCATTTTCAACCAGTCTCATGCCTTCTTCCAAGAGTTTGTCCAGAGCCTCAACCAGTCCTGGCAGGAGAACTGTGATCATGCTCCCTTCACTGGGCCAGCAGTAAGTAAAATTCATTCCCATCACCCCCACAGCCTCCCTGGGCTAAGTAGGTAGGAGAGGAATTTGGGTATCAAGCTGTGATTTCCAGAGGAGAATTTGATTTGGTGAATACTAAAGTGATCATGAAAGTCAGAGGCTGCCCAAAGGGACCTTGGGCTGCAGAGCTTTAGAGGGGTTCTCTGTGCTTGAGCTGGTGTAGAGCTCTAAATTCCAGCCTGATCTTAATTTGGACTGTGTTTGCTGTGAGTGCAGGGGATGGTGCAGCTCTGATTCAGTGTTTCCCTTGTGAAATTTGTCCCTGTGTGTTTTACTTCCAGTAAAAAATGGCTCGTGGCAGAGGGACTGGGAATGCAGATGGCACAGAAAGGGCTGGGCTGAGGCAGATGCCAAAAGGCTGTGTTGTGTTCCACGCTCCAGCATCTCCCTGATGAATGTGCAGATCAAGGCTGAAGTCTTCCCTAGGGATTCTCCCCAACTGGGAAGGTTTGCAAAGCAGATTTGCCACATCAGGGGTGCCGTGCCTGGAGCTGGGGGAGGGGAGAGGGAGAAAATACCATCAGTGGAACCCTTTTGCTTGTTTTTTAATGGGCTCAGAATCCCCTTGACGAGCTGAGGCAGCTCTCAAAACCTTATTGTCACCACAAAGTGATCCTTAACAGGCAAAATAAGGAGCTTTCTGCCCTTATTGTTTTTTTCTGCCCTGTTGGAGGTGCCTGGGACCATCCTAATCTCCCTCCTCCCCTCTCCAGTCACTTGCTGCCTGCCCTGCTGAATCTCCATGGGATTGCTACCAGGAAACTTCCTATTTGGATGACAGTTCAGAGGCATTAAAACCAAATTTCCCTCTAATAGTACAAGCAGAAGTCGGTAGGAACAGGAGTGCAGCAGGTGTGATGGGGAAATTAAAATTCTCATTGGGCCTTCTTACCCTTATCCTGAGCAACCAGCAAAATCTGCAGGTGGAAGGATGCAGGATTATGCCTGGAATTCTTCGAACTGCCATGCCCCAGGTGATGGAAAAAGGGCTTTTCCCTGGGTGGGGAAGTTTCAGAGCAGAGCTGAAATACTCCCAGGCAGGGCATGTGTTTCCTTTCCCTTGTCTGTGAGGGAAATACTGCCAGGCAGTGCCAGAAATCTGGCAGGTCTCATCTCCCAGGGAACACCCCTCTGTGCTAGAACTTCCCCTCGCAGTCCTGGGAAGGAGTTGTCTCACGGAATAGCTCATCCTAAGGAGGGAGAAGGGAGCTCAACAGCTGGAAGTGACAGGAGGGAGGTTTCCTGCGAGCTGCAAAATCACAGGGCTTTCTTCTAGAGCCGAGGGAGCATCTGACAAAGGAGGAGGGAGCTGCCTGCTCTAATGCCATTCTCATTAATCACATGGCAAAGAAAAGGGAATCAGAGAAAAATCATTCAAATTACAGATGGCTAGATTTGGTAATTAGAATTTAGGCTAAAACAGATGTTTGTAATTAAGTGTTTATGTCATTGAATAAAATCCAGATTGTAAAGTCTGTTTCACAGGGTTTTTAACGGCTTTAATTCTCCCTGTTACGTTTTTGGGGGGGGGGGCAAAGATACAGATGCTGATGTTTGAGGAAGAGACACAAGGACTTGATCCTGTGTTATCACCCTGCCCTTCCCAGTCCCTAAATTCCTTGAAATTATAAGGGGGCTGCCAGAAATCCTGACAACTTTTTCAGAGCTAAGGAGTAAAACATTCCAACCAGTCATGTCAAATGCTTCACTGAGATCCACAGGTCTCTTGCTCACCAGCTGATAAGAGATCATTAACTGCTCAGGGAAGGTGGAAATGGGAACCCAGCAGGAGACAGTTGAAAATGCTGGGCCAATATTCTGGTTTGGTACGAAATGGGGAAACTCTGGGGTCACAGGGGTTGTGTTTGGTCTCATTAGAGTTCCATTTGTCCAACTGGTGGTGTTAATCTGGTTCCTGATTCAGGGAAGTAATTGCTGATTGTGTGTGACATCCTGTGACCTGAGAGGGATTAAGTTCCCAGTTAAAATTATGTGTTTACTAAAGAGCTTCATGGAGCAGGGGCTGGGGACAGGACAGGCTGGAGAGGCCCTGTTAGGAAAAAATAAAGGCAGGGAGAAGGATATATCATCTCCTTTAAAGATCTCTGGAAAATGCTTCCCAGGAGGGGAGTGTTTAGATCAAGCTTAGCAAAAACAAAACCTCCCAGCTCTGGAGCCAGCAATAACTCTACACAGCCAAAGGTGCTGCCTGTTTCTTGGGCAGGCAGGTGAGCTGCAAGACTGGCAGGTGCCAGCCAAGGTGCCCAGCGCTCCCTGGAGAAACCTGGATGGTGTTTGTGTAACACAGATTAAACTGGCAAGTGCAGGAGGAATGGGACAGGGCAAATGGGATCAGGGCTGGAGAAGAGAGAGGTCACCAGAGCTGGTGATGTGTTAGAGCTGGTGGTTGGGATTTTGCTGGCATTAGGCTGGAATCCTGCCTTTTAACTCATGCTGGCTTGTAGGTTTTAAGGTGTCTGTGCTGCTTGTTAAGTGTCTAATCCCAACCCACCGTGGTCAATGAGGTCTCACCACTGATCTCAGGAAGATCAAGCAGGGTTAACTCTGGCTTGCTCTGTTCAAATTAGTTAACACAGTGGAAGCCAAAGGTTTGTTGGGATGATTGAACTGGGAGAGATTGTCCCTGCAGGGCCACTGGCAGCACTGAACAAACCCACAGGCTCTGGGAGGAGGAGAGGATGCAGATTCCGCTGCAGTGCTGTAAGTCACAGCCAGGGCAAGGTGGGCAAAGCAGCCCCAAGCTGGAGACTGAGCCCGTTGCCAGGAGCTGAGATGGGAAGAGGATGCTCCTGGAAGTATCCATGAGGAAAATGTAGCCTTGGTAGTAATGAGGTGCAACGGCTTAATTCCAGCAGAGTCAGGGGGTGACAGTAATTAAAAGTGAAATCTCTGTTGCAAGAGTGAACACGAGATGGGAAAATGGCTGATTATTAACGGGGCCAAAGGCATGGAAACAGTTGTGCTCGGGCAAGAAACACGGTCTGTGAGCCTTGATGGACAAAGAGACCTGATGAAAGGCAAACAAAGCCAAGAGGAGAAGGAGAGGGGATGACCCTGAGCATCCCTTCAGCAGTGCCATTACAGCAGGAGACTGGGGGGGGTCTAGCACAGCACTGGATGGTCTCTGTGGGGTCTGAAAACCAGGATTTGGCGGCTTGAGAAGCAGGTCTAGCAAAACCTCCTCTCATGTGGATCTGCCTGTCAGAGAAGGACAACACTGGTGCCTAATAATGACTGAAGAGGCACAGTCATCTTCCCTTCTGTGAGTGCAGCCCCAGGGTCTCTATTCTGCCCAGCTGCCCATTTTAGGAACTCCTCAAACCTGGTGTTCTCAGGAGCATTCCCCCCTGGCCAGCAGGTTGATCAGAGTCACCAGAAAAAACATCCCTTGATTAGAAAAAGTTATTTACTTTAGGAAACTGAGGTAGAAACGAATGGGAAGGGGTAGAAACAGAGAGAAAGACGACAGGGGTGGAAGAAATTCTGAAGAACAAGGAAGCAAAAAGGGACTGTGAACAGAGCACTGTCCTGCTTGCTGCGGGGTCCTGTAGGAGCAGTGGGGGGAGGGGGGGGCTGGATTTCTGTCCTCCTGTCTGATTTTTACCCCCCCTTTCCCCCACAGCTCTCCTCTGCCCTGCTCTTTGACGCCGTGTACGCCGTGGTGACGGCCGTGCAGGAGCTCAACCGCAGCCAGGAGATCGGGGTGAAGCCCCTGTCCTGCGGCTCTGCCCAGATCTGGCAGCACGGCACCAGCCTCATGAACTACCTGAGAATGGTGAGAGGGGGCTGAAGGGTGCCGCTGGGAGCAGGGCTGGTGCTCCCCCGCTGCCAGCAGCGAGAGCTGTGCTGCTTGCTGGCGCCGTTTGTGCTGTTTGAAGGCAGCTCTGGGAGTGAAAAGTGAGCAGGTCTAAAGGCTGGTTTGTGCCCGGCCTTGGAACGACATGAAACTCCCCGTTTTTGCTGCAGAAAAACCAAAATTCAGTGGATTTTTTTTTTTTTTTGGCTGAAGTGTGAATATTTCTAAGTGGTTTGAGCCTTGTTTTGAGTGAACCTGAGTTGATGTAAGATCATGCAGTGCAATTGCTTGGAGCTCAGTGGCAAGACGTGAGTTCCCCCATGGAGGAGTTTGGGCTCCTTTGAACCAAAAGTGTGGTTGCTGGAAGCAAACAAGCCTAGTTCTGGCAGGAGGACACCCTTGTAGCTTCAGCCTGGGGTTGGTCAGTATGATTCCATGGCCATGCAGAAGGAGCAGGTTTCTGAGTCCGTTTAGGGGGCCACTGAGACAAAGAAATTTTGAGAAACCTTTTTCCCTCTCCAAGGGAAAGCTTAGCCAGACCTCAGCCTTGTACCATTTTGGTCCATGAGTGTTTTAAATCTCACCCTTAGCCAGAAACAACAAAATCCTTCAGCTCCTCTTAGTTCTGATCCCTGGAGCCCCAGTGGCCTGCCCTTGTTGCTCAGCCTTGGGCTGGGGGGAAGTGATGAGGGGCTGTGGAGGTGGTTAATCCAAAGCAAGGAAATTTGGGGGGAGCCCTGCCCTTTGTTCTCCTCCCCCTGTTCCCCTCCAGACCCTGAGAGCAGCCAGGGTGGAGACACAAAGGTTTGCAGCGCTGGGAGGGTGGTGGGGGGTGAGCCACCTCGCTGGGCGCTGTAACTCAGTCTCTCTTGGACAGGTAGAATTGGAAGGTCTCACCGGCCACATCGAATTCAACAGCAAAGGCCAACGGTCCAACTACGCCCTGAAGATCCTGCAGCACACCCGTGGTGGGTTCCGGCAGGTAAGAGCAGACACAGCACCCAGGGATGATCTCTGCGTCCCCTGGGGAGGTTGTGGCCCCAGGATGCTGCTGTGGGGACCCACGGGGGGGTTGCAGACACCCCCCTGAGCAAGGAGAGGTGCTCAGCACGGCGTGGATCGCTCTCGCCGAGCCTGGGCTGCCGAACACGGCGGGTTTCGCTTCGTCAGGAGCGCGTCTGGGATAATCTGGATGTGTCTTCGTGCATCAGGCCCCTGAGGTGGTGGTGTCAGAGCCAATCCTTGTCCTGTCACAGCAACCTTTGTGTGCAGGAGGTAATTCAGGGCAGGGAGTCTGTGTCAGGAGTCTGTGCTGGGTACGAGCTCACGCTCGTGACCCTTTTGTTCTTTAGCTTGTTGGATGCCTTTGCTCAAAATTGTTTGGAAAAACGGGATGATTTCCCATTAAATGGGGAAAAAGAAAAAAAAAAAGGGGTGCTATGAACCTTTCCAAACAACTTCTATGAGGGATAGCAAAGGGGGCAACCCCATATCAGGAACTCCCCACCATCTCTCCCCTACTTGGCATGTGGGGGGAAGTTCCAGATCATTTACCCTTCGGTTTATGGTTCCCCTGTGACAGGTTTGCTTAGCTCAGACTCTCATTTGCTTTTTGTCTCGGTGCTCCTGGACTCTTCCCAGTCTTGGTCCTTTCTCTCCTTGTCACCCTCTTTCTGTCCAAGGGATATTTTCTGCCTTGAGCCAAGGTTAAGGTGGGGCCACGGGTGTCAGACTGGTGAGGGTTGCATGACACAAGCCCAAGGAATTAAGGTTTTACTGGTAAATCCACACTTCATTGAGGGAAAAAAAAATGAAATAGAAGTCCCAGAAAAAGAGGTTTTATCTCATTTCCCTGCTGACAACTCCACTGCTGCCCTTTTCTCAGAGACTGCCACTTCTCTTGGACTTTGGCAGAGAACAAAAGCTATTGTATCTTCCCCTCCCCAACAGAGCTTTTTGGCATTAGGAAATCTCCCCTGGTCTGGCAGCACTGAATTTCAGCCTTGGCAAGGATGTTGCCTGCCAGTTCTTACCTGTCAAGTGACAGCCTGGCTTTGATGCTGCCTTTTGCCGAGTGAGAGGGAGATCAGGATGGCATTTTCCCCACAGTGAGATCTCTCATAGCATCAATGCCCTTTTAATCCTGTCCCAAGCCCGTCATCCTCTGAACAAAAGTGACAGATCCAAGCCCATCTGCGTTAATAAGGACGTGCATTCAGCTGGATCTGGGAAGAAAAACGCTGCAAACCTCCCTGTGACAGCTTTGTTTTTGATGTGTTTAAATGTGGCAGGGACTTCACAGTAAAGGCTCAGGTCCTCTTGGAGCAGAGAGCTTCTCCCAGAGCTCCATGGAGAGCTCTGACTGCACCCTGATGTGCCCTGAGACTAAAGACCCTCCTCAGGGCTCTTGACTGACCAACAGCAGTGCCTGGAAGGGTGTCAGGCTCCCTCCCAGCCTGGAATAGGGGTGTGTTTAACTGGGAAGGGCATCCCCAGGGAGCTGTGAAACCTGGCAGGCTCCTGCCTGACCTCCCCCTGCCCTCCAGGTCCCCGCAAAGGCCACTCTGCTGGGCCACAGGTGGTTGTTTTCTCACTGCCAGCCTGGCTTCTGGTAATAAAAAGGACTAAATAAATCATTAGAAATAATTTAATTAAGGGAACGGGCTGAAGAACAGGCATTCACATCCTGGAGACAATGTTGTTCCCAAGGGCTGCATTAACTGATTTGCTCAGGCTCTTGGTTGAAACACTTCTATTCCCTCCTTAGTTTTAATCAAGCTCATGCTCTCTGCCCATTCCTCTCTTCTTCTCCTTCCCTCTTTCTCCCTCCTCCTCTTTCTCCTTCCATCCAGTGAAGCCACAGGGGCTTCCAGCTCACCAGCTTTGACAGAGAGTTCACCCAATTTTGAAGCTGATCCAGCCAGCAAACAAATTAGAGACACTTAGACTTTCCAACTCGCTGTTGCTTTTGGGCAAGGGGAGGCAGGGCTTTTTGACATCCAATTTTTAATACATTTATGTAACGCACCAAACGTGTCTTTTCCTGATTTAGCTTAACTTAGAGGGATTTATTTATTTTTTTTTTCCCCACAGCCATATGAGAGCTGCTCCCCGTTCACAGGATGCTCGATAAAGCACAGGCTCATTAATGTGCTGGTGATCCATAGATCTGACAAGGGATGAGTTTGGAAATGTCAGCTTTTTTTTTTTTTTTTTGCCTCTCCTTGCCCCTTTGAAAAACACTGCAGCACACCCCTGGGGGTCCAGAGGAGTGCTTTGCAGTGAACCACGAGCTGGCAGCTTAGCACGAGAGGGGGATGAGGAAGGGCTGTGATTGAGGAAGGGAAAGGGGCAGGGGGAGCTGTGGTGGGGCTGGAGCTGCTTCAGGCACATTGACCCCACCTCTGCCTGGTCCTAAGTGGGGCAGATTAGTCTCTAGTTAACTAAAGGCTCTGCTGGTGTCCTGAGACAGAGTAGTGCAGTGATGGGGCTGTTTAATTGGTATGTTGATGAGATACAGATGAGTTCCCGGTGATAGCTCTGAGACCCTCAGCAATCCTCGCTGCATCAAACCTCTTTAACTTGGAAGAGGCTAATCAGCCTCGATGGGACTTGTTCCTCCTTAGCTGTTACCCCCAGCAAGGGCCCAGGGACAGATCCTGCCAAGAGCTGAGTGTCTTTTGCCTCCCAGGGCCCGACAAACTCGGACATGCCACTGTCAGACCCTGTCTGGGCTCTGCCAAGCGTCATTCGTGTCCAGGGGGGACATCTGGGGAGGGTTGTGTGCGTGTCTCATGGTTGTTCAGATTTTAACAGCTGCTGCTTTCAGTGCCCTGTCCTAAATTCAGTGGAGGAAGCTTTTTCCTGCTTGCTGTGCTGGCATCAGCCTTGCAGTGGTGCCCTTCAGGAGTGCCAACCCCATGGCAGGCCTGTCCTCTGAGGGCTTTCCCTCCTTTGTTTGTTTTATTCTCTGTTTCCCTCCACCTCCAGGCACTCCTAAATTCCCTCTCCTTGGGGCACCTTGATGAGGGATGATTGCACTCTGCACTCCTCCCTTCTCCTGGGGGCACTGAGAAGGGCAGGAGATGGATGCAAGCTGTAGGACAGCACTTGCTAATCAGAGCCCAGAAGGTGTCTGGGTTTATTGCCCTCCCCTGCCTGTTCCAACATCTGCATTCAGGCCTGGCTTTACCTTAATTTTAAGCTGGGAATAGGGCTGGGAAGTACCTGTGGTGCCTCTGAGTATTATGGAGAGGTCTTGCTATGTCATCTCTCCCTGCCCAGAGAACACTGAGCAGATGACCGTGTTAAAATCATTAGTTGGAGTGGTGTTTCATCATCTCACACCATGAGGAACCTCAAAGCCTCTGCATGGAGGGGCTGCAGGATGGAAGGAGCAGCCAGGAATGCCCCACGTGCATCCTGTCAGCTGCTGGGGGTTTTATGGGGAGTATGAGAAATCTTTAGGTGCCACTGATCCAAAAAAACCACCTTCTGCAGATCAGCTGAAGTGAGGGTAGGTGTCAATTGAAGGTATCAAGCTCCAACTTGCACCCAGGTGACTGTGCTGCTCTCGCTGCTCTCCTAGGACAGGTGTGACACCACTTCAGCTCCTCTGATCATTAGGAACACTCCTCCAGTCTTCAGGCTGATTATTTCTGGCTGGGTTGTGCCTGTTTATTTTTGTGCCAGTGCCATCGTTTTAGCTTCGAAAGCTGTTCTACCTCTTTGCAGTGGACCTCCTCCACCTGGTGTATTTATACAGGCCAATCACATCCACTACTAAAAAATCCCCTGTCCTAAAAACTCTGAACCCCTCGTCCAGAGCCTTAACAACAGGATGGTCTTATCCAGGTCCACGAAGGGGATTTGATTGTTTTCCAGCACATTTCGCAGATGGATATGTTTTCTGTTTTTCAGAGGCTCTTTATATGTAGATGGAGATGATTAAAATCACCTTGACATCCATCTTGCAGGAAAGGGAGAGGCACGAGGATCCCAGACATCCTCTGACAGGTTGCACTTTGGAAGCAATGAGCGGTGTGGGGAGTCAATCAGTGGCTCTGTCAGCCTGTGAGGGGGACAGTGGTGAGCTGGATGCCCCCCAGGATTTGGTGGGAAGCACCCTGGCACGTGGGGGGGAGTGTGGCTGTGGTGCTGCTTGAAAAGCAAGGTCAAACCCACGGCACTGTCAGAGGAGGAGGCAGGCAATTAGTCTCAGCATGTGCCAGCAGGGAAGGGACAAATTGGAGAACAGCGAGGGCTGTTAAAATTAAAGTTAATCTGTCACTAATCTCTGGTTGGGAAATCCAGGAGGGGGGAAAAAAAAATGAGGCAATGTTTGTGAGTGATGACTCTCCCTGGGAGGAAATCGCTGCAGAGGGGCTGATGTTCAGCAATCCCAGCGGGAGGAGAGACCTCAAGAGAACAAGGTGCCCAAAATCTGCACCCAGCCTGCTCCAGCACACCATCCCTGTGCCTCCATCCCCTTGTTTTGGGAATGGATTTGTTCTGGCTGAGGGAAGAGCCGTCAAGACTCCCCCTGCGCGTTGGAGTCACCTGCCTGCCTCTCAGGGCCACACCACCTCACTTTAGTGGTGCCAGAGGACAACAGTCATCCAGAGGGCTTGGACTGATGGGGACAGAGAGGAAAAACAGGAGGGAGAAGTGGTCTCAGAGGGAGCTGGCCTCCCTCAGCCACCCCTCTATCCATGAGGAAAAGCAGAGGCTCCTTTAGCCAGAGTCTAATTTGCATGCTCTGAGCTGCTGGAGGTGCTGATCTCCCTGCCCAGAGCTCTGAGGGAGGGAGATTAGGCTCTTGAAGTTAAAATTAGGTTCTGTTGAATATTCCTCCCCCCTGGCTGAAGGCAGCAGGATGGTTGTGTTGCGTCACAGCTGAATCACAGCGTCCTCCCAAGCGCTTGGGGGACTGGTCCCTGCCACCCGTGGTGGGAATTGGTTTCTGCTGCAGTGACACTGATGCTTGGATGGGTAAATTAGAGCTGTTGGGTGTGATGAGGCTGGATCAAAGCTTGGAGGTGCTTAATTGGAGTGGTTGGCATCCATAGAGGCAGCCAGAGGAGATGAGTCATGGAGCAGCACCACTGAGGACGTGGCTTCCTTTCACCATCTGCCCCCAAGGTGGAGGGCAGAGCTTGGAGTTTTGGCCGTGTGGGCACTGCTGGGTAAGACTGACCCACCTTGGTGGGCATTTTGGGGGCAGCACAGGGGGCTGTTTGACCACCCCGAGCCCCAGGGAGCTGCTGCAGGGAGGACACGTGGGAAGGACCAGCTTTTTGGCACTGCAGAGCAGGTGGTGGGGGTGCACCAGAGGGTTAAATCTCTCTGCTGACCTGTTGTGGGGGGTGCCTTGTAAAGGTAATGGAGCATTCACAGACAGGCCAGCCCGATGGCTGTCACTCACCAGAGCCATATGGCGGGTTCTGTGCCGTAACTCGCCCTGTAAATTCCCTTATTGTGCTGTTTATCCCTCCAGATTGGCCACTGGCACGTGTCTGAAGGACTCAGCATGGACAACAGGATCTTCTCCTCCAACATATCAGACAGTCTGTTCAACACCACGCTCATTGTCACCACCATCCTGGTAAGTGAGGGGGTCACCTGCAGTTCCCACTGGCTCCCAACTTGCAGGGGTGCCGATCAGCTGGAATATCCCTCCCTCTCCCTACCCCCCTGGACCCCCAGCATGAGGCACTGCAGGCTGATTTCATCCAGAACAGGCCATCAAATCTCTAATTACAGCACTGAGGACAATTCATGACAGTGTAATTAAACTCAAGTTGATGTTTCATATGGAAATGATATTTGATGAGTTCAGAAGCAGCTGGGGAGAGGGCTGGGATGGGGATACGTGGCCATTTTACATTCATCTCTGAATGATGGTCTTGTTTTTTGCGTACAGCTGGTAAGTTGGAAGGGACAATTGTCCTTTCAACCCATAAAATTATAAAAATTGGCCAAGATGGGCACAATTTTATGAAGACTTCGCATTTACAGGCACCACCTTATTCAACAGGTTTCCCTTTCCAGCTGCTGCCTGTCCAGTGATTTTTTTTCCAACACTTCTGGCCCTTCCTAAGGACACCCAAAATCCTATTTCCTCGTGTCCCACAAAGTTTGCTGAAAGGGGGGACAGACTGGAGGGGTGGCTATGTGCCAAGGGAAGCTGGAATTGGGATAAATCTGCTGCCCAGTGAATCCCAGTGTGGAAATTACACCCCCTACACCAAGCTCTCCATATCAATTCTATCCATACTGGGATGGTGTGCCACTTATATCGGGGTTGGACCTTTAAAGCCCCCTCCAACCCAGACTCCCTGAGCTCCTGCCACCCTGGCACTGCCCTCCCCACTCCGTGCTGGCTAAGATGGGAATGACAGCTGCCCAGTTTCACTGCAGGAAAACCCTTACTTAATGCTGAAGTGGAACCACCAGGAGCTGGAGGGCAACGACCGCTACGAGGGCTTCTGCGTGGACATGCTGAAGGAGCTGGCAGAGATCCTGCGCTTCAACTACAAGATCCACCTGGTGGGGGACGGCGTTTACGGGGTCCCCGAGGCCAACGGCACGTGGACAGGGATGGTTGGAGAGCTCATTGCCCGGGTAAGTGGATTAACTCTGCTCTTTTTAGCTCTGCCCCCTCTGGTGGGACTTGGCGAACCCTGATGGTGGTTTTTTAAGTGCTCCAGGACGAGAAGGATTGAGGGGGGTGTGTGTGTGTGTGTGTGTGTGGTTTAGTCCATTTATGAGGCTCTGGCCATGTGTTCTCCCAGTGGCAGATGTGTTTGTTGTGGTGGCGTGACAGCAGGAGCGGGAACAGGGCCCCGAGGTGCTCTCAGTGGGTGCTCACTCTGCTGGAAAAGACACCTGAACTCTGGGATCCTGCATCAGAGCTCATTGCAGAGTGGATGATTGTTTTCTCAGTGGAAAGATGAATGAAAGCTTGCAACAGGAAAATACACAGGGCTTGGTAGACCCTGGAAAAAAAAAAACACCTGTGCCCAGTCAGCCTCTACCCCCCTCCCTGCTCTTTGTTTTCCTCAGCAGCTAAAGGCAGCCCTTCCCCAGGGTTCCTGGAGCTTAAATACAGCTCACAAAATGCTCTGAGATCCTTAGTAAAATAGGCTTAGCCAAAGCTAACAGTAAGATTGATGCTATTTAAGCCAACTCTTCCTTACTCACTTATTTCTACCCTGTCTCATCGTTACCAAAGCTGTGAGAAGCCAGGGGCACTCACTCAGCTGGTGGCAAATCCTCAGTGAGGTGCATTTGTGATAATCCCACCGCTGTGGGAGAGGAGATCCCGAGTCCCTCCATCATCTACCTCCTGCAGAGCAGAGGAACAAGGGCCAAAATCCATCCCCTGGGGCTCCAGGCAGGGATCTGGGGCTCCTGCCACATCTCTCTTCCCAGCTGTGGGAGATGAGTGAACATCACTTCACTCCTGTGATTTATTGGGTGGTATTTGGTTGAAGGTTGGGTTTGAGGATCTTGCAGGTCTTCTCCAGCTCTGGATGATCATGGAATCATCATCTGGAAGATGCCCACAGGCATCTCTCTGCTTCTTCCCCACATGGCCAAGGGGACCTGGCTGATGATCGTCCTACCTTAGGACTGTCAGCTGAGTGCCTAAGGTCAGGTGGGGCAACTCTAAGTCTAAAAGAGGGATTTTGGGATTTGCTGAGGGTCAGAGACAGGGCATGGAACAGCCTGCAGATTCTCCTGAGCTGGCTCCTGTCTCCTGGGTCACCCTTCCCCAGTGGAGCGATAATTCCCGGTGCCAGCTGAGATCCCACCTCCATCTGCTCTTTTGAAAGAGCCTTCTGCACGGCTGTTTGCAGATGCCCCAGGCTACTGGCACAGTTTTCTATCCATCTTTCTCAGCCTGTGTACCTACATGCACACACAATTACACTTGTGCACCGTTCTTTTTGGGAGGGGAGAGAAGGAAGGCGCCGAGAGCAGCGTGTGATCTGTGCAGACAAAGGAAGGGAGCAGCCACCAGACTTCTGGCCTGCTAAACCTTGGCAGTGCCTCCCCATTAAATGGGAGCTTCTGGAGGCTTGTTTTTTATTTGGTGGTAGATGTTTCAGCTTCATCTTCACATGGAAACCGTTTTGTTTCTTCTGCAGCTCGAGCCTTATTTAGGAGGATTTTTACTTCTGCTCCAGCAGGGCAGAGCTGGCAAAGCTCTGTGAGGCTGCAGCACAAACTGGAGAAGAGAAGCAGCTTTCTCTTGCAGCTTTGTTCTTGCTGTGTGCCTTAGAGTCTTTATAGTGGTTTCAGCAAGTTCCTGATCAATCCCAGGGACTGGCACTTTGGATCAGGTCAGCCAGGGCAGGGCTGGCTGTGTGCTTGGTGTTGTGTTCACTCAGGGCTGCTTGGGACGTGGCTTTCTGAGGGCATTGCACATCCCCCAGGGGAGTTTTTCCTTGCTTCCAGTCCCTTGTTCATCCCCTATCCCATGGGATCCAGCAGATCCTGTGTTAGGGGTGGATTTAACCCTTGGACACTCCTCTCCATCCAGGCCTTTAGCACACAGAAGGCATCAGATTCCTCCTTCACCCCGATCAGCTGTCAGAAAATAAGCTTTGACTCACACACACTTAATGTGCAGGACCAAAAGGTCAGAGAATTATCCAGCTCCATGCAGTGCCTTTCCTGTAATCCCCCCGTGGCACTGAATCTCCTCAGAGCAACTCCAGGCTATATGGGAAAAGTGTTTCATTTTATTGCTTCTAAATTAACCAGCTATTGATTTATTCTTAAGAGCTGAAAATTCCATTACAGCTAATTGTGCACCATGATATGATTGAGCAGGATGCTACATAAACATAAATTTGTGCTTGACCCAAATTTTCCAGTACATATCCTATCGACCTGCTCACAAAACAAATTGAGAGGTAAGGAAAAGGGGGATTGGGGTGGCTTGGGAAGAGCTGTAGGGACACCTCTGGCTGTGTCAGCAGGGCAGGAATCCTGCACTCTTTGGGATCAGCTGCTGGAGGTTTGGCTTGGGAGGAATCACTTGGAAGGACTCACAGAATCACAGAGTGCTTTGGGTTAGAAGGAACCTTAAAGATCATCTTGTTCCACCCCCTGCCATGGGCAGGGACACCTTCCACTGTCCCAGGTTGCTCCAAGCCCTGTCCAAGAACACTTCCAGGGATGGGCCAGCCACAGCTTCTCTGGGCAACCTGTGGCAGGGCCTCCCCACCCTCACAGGGAGGAATTTCTTCCCAATATCCCTATCTAACCCTACTCTCTGTCGGTGTGAAGCCGTTCCCCCTTGTCCTCTCACTACAGTTCCTACTGAAGAGTCCCTTGAGCCCATTCTCTAGTGAAAGATGTCACCAGCTGGGAAGACCCTGGGCTAATTTGTCCCTCTGAGCATGCAGGGCAGGCAGATTGGCTCCTCCCTGGAGGAGCAGGGCAGTAAAGCTGCTCTCCCCCGTCAGCATTCCCGGCTCTGGCACAGCCTGTGGTCTCCAGCAGTTCAGCTGACACTGCACACGTGTGCTACCCACAACAAACAAACAAGGGGCAGCAGCAAATCTTCCCATCTCCTCGTTTGGTTTTTTTTTTGGCACCAGAGCCTTGGGGGACAATTGGGCTGGAAGAATTACGGCTGGCTCCTTCCCGCTGCAGTGCAGTCTTCTGGCTCGCAGTCCCTGCTGGTTGTCTGCTCTTCCCTTTCTCTCCCCCTCTCCCCAGCTCATCCTCAAGCTGAAATGAATTCCCTGGCATGATACACACCGAGGAATGTATTTTCACAGCCTTCTCCTTGTTCCACCCAGCCTGCAGCTGCTGTCCTGGTAGCCTCACAGCAAGCCCTTGGTGCTCAGCTCCCTTCGCCCTCCACATGAAATCGTGTCTGTCTGGGGGATCCCTCAGCAGCACTTCCCGAATTTACCCATTGCAGGAATGCCCTGGGGCATAGAGGGGAGGTAATGGGAGATGGGTTTGATTTGTTGGCAGGATTTGATGCTGCAGTTTTGATAAAAGACCTCCCCAAAAACCTCCCTCTGATGCAGCCCGGGTACCTCTGGCTGGCTGGGTTTTTTTTTTTCCAGGAGGTGACAGTCCCCTGTCCTGCTCGCCTGTGGCAGGATGGATGGGGTGGAAAGGACTGGTATGTGCTTTGTGCAGCCTCTGTCAGCTGCCCAGGCTTCCTTCAGCATTGTTTAGTAACAGATCACCTTTGGTGCTGCCAACACAGCAGATCTGTGAGTGTTTCCAGGGCAAGTGTATTTGGGTGAGGCTGGTGTAGAAAGCACTTAAAGGAGCTTGTAATGGGGAGTGAGTGACTGTGCAGGGTCATTTGGGAAGTGAGATGGTGTGGAATAACGCTGGAGCTTTGCTCTGTGTGTCAGTGGTTTGAGTCTGTCCCGGCTCAGGGATGATCAGGGCTCTTTTCAAAGTGAAGGAGATGAAGTTGTCCATCTCCTGGACGGGTCTGGCCTCGGGACCAGCAAACACCCAGAGCTGAAAGGACCTTAAAGCTTTGGTGTGGTGGTTTTCCACCTTCCTTGCTGGTGGCCAGGTGGTGCTTTCCCTTCAGCTGCTCCAAAGACAGGGCAGGAAGGGGAGAGGAGGGAGAAGATGCTTGTAAACTGTCAGAGTCCTGCTCTCCACTCGCAGTGGGTGTGGGTGCTCGGTGAGAAGAGCTGTGTGTGGGTGGAGGGAGGGAGGGGGAGTCTGTTTGCACGCTGTCTGTGCTGGCAAGTGTGCCATGGGGGGGCTCAGGAGGGTGGGGGAGCGAGGAGGGGTGTGGGGGTTGTTGTGCAGACACAGCCAGGGACGGGCAGAGGGGTTTGTGCAGACCTGAGGCTGACATCTGCTCTGGCTCCTGGTCATCCCACCCTGACTGTGGCTTCAAGGGAGGGCTGCAGCCTCCAGGGTTCCCAGGCTGTCCCTTTTCACGGGGCAGAATTCCTGCATGGCCTTTAAAACCTCCCAAACACCGATTTGGGGTGACCCTCATTTAAAGGCCCTGCCCTTGAATGCAAGAATGTGCATCTGAGCAGACAGCCTGGGTGCTGCTCAACCTGAAATAGCTGCTGTCAGATCAGGTGGGCAGCTGGAGCAGCAGCAATCAGCACACTGATCCCCTGGTAGAGCTGGGCCTGTCGTGCCATGGGGACAGATCTGCAGATCTGCAGGTGAGCAGGATGTATCCAAACCGCCCTGCAGTGGCTGCTGCTGATGACAGGGTCACATGGAATAGCAGGGAACCTCTGGAGACCATCCTGCACTCTGCATCCCAACGGGTCTGCAGTGGGACAGGTACCTGCACTGGGGCAGTACCTGGTGGCCAGGTGAGTCTGAAGGTTGAGCAGCTATTTCACCTTCCCAGAAGGCTCTTTAGGCACACAGAGAGCTTTCTGTGCCCTTGGTCCCGCTGTCAGTGCTCTGTGGGCAGCGCTGGTGGGAACGATGCTGCCACCAGCACCCAGGGGATGGAGCTCCCAAGGTGCTGTTCCAAGGGGCTCCTCCTCCTCCTGGAGGAGATCCCAGCCCTGTCCTCCCCCTGGCTTGTTTTCCATGAGCCTTGCACCGCTCAGCCTTCCTCGCCGTGTTTCGTCTCCGCAGCCTGACAGGGGGTGGTGAATCGCTGTGGGGCCGGAGCAGGGCTGTTCTCCCGGCTGCCATCCCATGCCGTGGGAGGCTCTGGAGGGATCCTCTCCTCCCGGGCTGACGTCAAGCCCCATTCATCACCATCAGCGCCGGGCTGAGCCCTGTCAGCGCCCGCGGCGAGGGGGCGGATGCCGCCCCTGGACTGGCAGTCCCTGCAATTTGCTCCTTAAGGCTCCTTAATTGTTGTTCCTCCGCAGGAGCCGGCTCAGCCCCCCGTGTTTAACCGGTGGCAGCCAAAGCCCGTGTGCTGATGCCCACGGGAACGCCAGGTTTGGTGCTGGTGTGGCAGCTTTCATCTCACACACCGGCCCGCCCCAGCTTGGGCTGCCTCTTGCCTGGTGAGGGTTTGGTCGTGTTTAAGCGGTGCTTTGTTAAAAGGAGTGTCTGCCTCCTCTCCCAAAATGCTCTGGGTCTCTCTCTAAGCCTGTTTCATGCCGGCATTTATAGCTGCGACTGTGCTGGGAGGATGAAAACCAACAAGCAGTGCTTGCCCCCTTCTTCCCACACCCCCTGCTTTTCCTCCCCTTCCCCCTTTCCCCAAGGCCCGAATGTGGACAAGAGGGCAAGAAGCACAAGGCAAAAATCCATTTCTTTGCTTAGCCCATAAAATTCCCACTCCTGCCTGTGCTCAGAGGGGGGGAGGTTGGCGAGTGCTGAGGTTTGCAGAGCTCCCCTGTAGCTCAGTGAATCACAAGAAGTTTTGTGAACACGGGGAAGCGAAGTTGAAAGCGGGAAATGGGTGATGCTCAGGCAGAGGATTCTTTGCGCGCCATCCCCAGATCAAAGTTTGTCTCTGTCAGGAATCAGCTCTTAACTTGCATGACTGTGAGCCTGCAGAGAGAGATTGAGCCTACAGAGAGAGAGAGAGAGAGAGAGAGAGAAAGCCACGAGGAGCTGGGGCTCTGCTGCACAGAAAGTTCTGGTGTGGGAGAAGGAAGGTGGATCTGGGCACAGGTTGGAGCAGGTGCTGCACCTCTGATGTGGCAAAAGTACCTGAAATGACAAAGGTCCCTTCAAACTCGGGATATTCTATGATTCTGTGTGTTCTGGAAGGGTCTCAAAGGATGGCAGTTGGGAGAATAATTGGAGTTTTTTATAATTACCGAGGTCACTGATGGTCCCCTGAGAAGGTGGTGGCTGAGCTGGGTAAATCTGGGGACAGATGAGAGCTCCTCTCATCAACACCTTTGTGTTGGCCCTTGGATGGGAGTGGAAATGTCCTCAGAGCTCTGGCATGAAATACCTTTGACAGTGGCTTATTTACCATCGCTTTAGACTGGGGCTTTGCTGCTAGAACTGTGTTTACTTTGGAGAACTGGCAGAAGAAATCCATTGTCAGACTAAGCTGTATCTTCAGCAGGGGCTTTGCTGGGAGAGCTCTCCCCTGGACAATAGTACCTGCAAACCCTTTTAAGCAGAGACAAGAGAGGTTTAGGAAGCTTTAGGCTTTCCTTGTAGATAAAATTCTTCACATGCCACGTTGCACAGATGAACTGATCCCATTTTAGTAATCTGCTGGTGTTTACACAGGGCTCAACTGCTCACACACCACGTTGTGATTATTGGTGTCTTTTAAAAAGCCTGTGGGTAAATGTCTGGCTAGGCAGAAATTCTCCTTAGCTCATAATTCATCCCAGCCTGAACCTCTTGAGAATCTGTAATAGCTGCTTGGAAACAAGTGCAAAAATCTGGCACTGAGCATGTCCCATAAAACATTCCTGCATGGACTGTCACCTTCTCCACGACCCCCTTCACTGGGATTGAGGATCACCTTGGGTTTCTTTTCCCTCTCCCTCCTCCTGCTGCCTCCAGCACTGCTGCTCTTCCCTCTTGCAACTCCAGCCTTTCCCATCAGGACCATCATCAGGCCTGATGGTGCCTTGGCTTCTGCACAGACCTTGTCAAATTTAGGGACAACAGGTGCAAACAGCTTTTCTTTCCCCCCCCCTTCTCTTCTTCCACATGCATAATCATCTTCCTGCAAAGCAGTCAAACAAATGGATATAGGAGTGGAGGTTTCATTTTTACAGAAAGCAATTACAGACCTTAAAAGAGCGAAAGTAATAAAAATAATATTTAAAATTCAAATCCCTTATCTGTATTACAAGGGTATTAACACGGGGAGGAATTATTTTTATTTTTTTTCTCTTCCCTCTAATCTCGTCCGCTTTGCAAGTCAATCTGCAAATTTTAATGCCAGTCCTCTGAATTTTTTTGGGGAAGTCTGGGGTTGGCAGGTTTGGGAACTTCATGGCTCAAAGGATGTAGGTAATGATGCTGCTTTTCTTTCCTACCTGTGCCACTTGCAAGGGGCAAGGAAGGGACAGCTGTGCTCAACAGGGGCTCAGCAAGGGGGAGGTTGTATCTTCTGTAGATAAACACGATATTTATTGTTTTGATGGCTCCTGTTGTGCCAGGTTTTAAAGCCTTAGATGAATAGAAATGGCAGTCAGGCTGGGAGCAGGGGCTGCTGGTGTGTTTACTGTTAGCACAGCGGGGTCCTCACGGGCAGCCTGTGAGTTCAGAGCAAAAAACATCCAGGTGAGGAAAGGAAAAAGAGGGGAGAATGGTCTGTGGCATCTGTGAAACTCTGGAGTGTGTTTGAGCAGGGCTTGTGCGAAAGCCACCCAGGCAGAGGGACGTTCGAGCCCAGCCTGAACTATCGCCAGCAAAACTCCCACAGAGGGTTTGGGATGGCCCAGAAAGGGGGGACATCCACCCTCCAGGGGCAGGTGTCCTGTGTGTGGCCCCAGGTGTGGCTCAGCTGCTTCCCCAGGCTCAGGGCCCTGACCTTCTCCGTTTATCCTCTCTCTCCAGAAAGCCGACTTGGCCGTGGCGGGGCTGACGATCACGGCGGAGCGGGAAAAGGTGATTGATTTCTCTAAGCCCTTCATGACTCTGGGAATTAGCATTCTCTACAGAGTTCATATGGTAAGAGACTTACTTTATAACCATTTATGTCCCTCCATTATTTGCATGCAAACGTGCCTGGTTGTAGAAGAAAAATGAACGACTCATAAAAATATTTGGGTTTCTTATTTAAACGCAAATGTGCTCGACCTTTATTTCCTTTCAGCTTGGTGGATTCAATTCCTGCTCAAAGCCCCCTACCCCTTGGCTTCTCTTCCCCATCATCCCTGAGCACAGGATGCTTTTTTGGGGGGTCACAGGGTGGCTTTATTTTGGCTTTGAGCCCTGCTGCGTGAGGTGTGCTCAGTGCCCTTAGCCCTGCGCTGTTATAAAATCATGGAATCACAAACTGGTTTGGGTTGGAAGGACCTTAAAAACCACCCAGTTCCTCACCCTGGCATAGGCAGGGAAGCCTTCCACTAGCCCAGGTTGCTCCATGCCCTGTCCAACTTGGCCCAGGGAATTTATGTGTGCAAGCATGTTGTGTCATGTCTTTGCTCAGACAGCACTTGTTGTCTTAAATTCCCGTAGATTCCCTTTTATTTGCACCCCTCACTGCTTTATCTTCTGCCTGAATGTCAGGAGAGGACAGGTTTTCCCCTGCTACTCCCATATGGGAGCCCCCAGTTTCCCCAGTGTCACAAGCTCTGGCAGCCAGGCCCTGTGCAACGGGATGTCTTGTTATTCCCAATCTGCACTTGGGAAATGTTTGTGCTTTGCACAGCGTGGAGTGTGATGCAAATGGCAGTGGCTTGGTCTCTGTCAGCTCAACAATAGCAGCCAAAAGGATAAACCCACTCAAGCTGCTTCTCCCAGCCCCCTCTCCATCGGGGAGGCTGCTCAGGATGCAGTGTTGGGAATGAACAGAAGTAAATTCATGCATCCATCTCTTGTGCTGAGTGGCTCCTGCCAAGAGCAAACAAGTAATTAAAATCTAGTTAAAATTCTGTTTCCTCTGGTACGTGCAGAATTTAGGATCGATGACTGAACTGATCAGAAAAAAAAAAAAAAGAAAAAAAGAAAAAGGGTCTGACTCTTCAAGCTCCTGGAAATCAAATGTCACTGTCCCCTCCTCACTACAGTTGGTTTGTCACACCCCCAGCGTGCCTGTGGGTCTGGGAGGTGTTTGGTGTTTCTGCCAGTGCCTCTTGACTGGGATTGTTACCAAGTTTAGGGATTGAGCACTGTGCTATTTTAGGAAGGAAATCCTTCCCTGTGAGGGTGGGGAGGGCCTGGCACACTTCCAGTGGCTGCCCCAGCCCTGGATGTGTCCAAAGGCAGGTTGGAGCAACCTGGGACAGTAGAAAGTGTCCCTGCCCATGGCAGGGGGTGGGACTGGATGAGCTTTAAGGTCCTTCCAACCCAAACCATTGTGGGGTTCTGTGATTCTGTGCATGTCCTGCCTTGGATTTTTGCACCATAATCTTCAGCAAGTGTGTTAAAGCATCATTCCCTCACCAGCATTCCTCCCTCCAGAGGAAAGACAGGAATATTGGTGCAGGGTTTGCACAGGCTCTGCTCTATATGTGCAAGGCATTTGCTGCTGCCTCGGGGAGCTCTACAGGAACGTGTCTGACACATCTCTTTAGAGTGGAAGTTCCTCAGGGCAGGGAGCATCTGCTGTTTGTGCTGGTACCAAGTAACACAGCACAGCCCCGCTCCAGCCTGCAGGGCTTCACCAAACTGAGCAGGATTAGTAATTACAGACTTCTGAACCGTTTGGAAAATAATACCCTGCCTTGGTCGGGACTCTTCAGCTGCCTGATATAAAGGGCCCCAGTTAGGATTTGAGAAGGGGAAGTGCCCAGTGACCCAGGCAGCTCTTTGTCCAGCCCTTCCCTGCTCAGCTCCAGGAGAGTGTCTGAGAGCTGCGTGGCAATTAACTCATCAAACCGGTAAATATTTGTCTAACAAGAGAGTTAATTGCTCTGGTTTTCCTTTAAGGATGTGGTTTGCAGAGCAGCCCCATCTGCTTCCATCCCCCCCATCCCAAAAACCACCTCTGCAGTGTCAAAAACTGCAGCTGACGTATGTTAATCACGGCTCAGATCAGCTGTAGCCTAATAAATAACCACAAATGAGTTTCCCTCTTGCTGAGGAGTTGTCTCCACGCCCTGGTCTCCTCCCAATGTGCTGACATTTTATTTCAATTCCCATCCAGCTCCAGTGGCAAGTTGATATCTCGCCCCTTTCTCCTCCCCACGCCGCCAACCCAACCACCACAGTGCCTGGTGCCTCTCATCACACATAACCAAATATGGCAGCTTTAAACAGGGCTGTCATTTTTCTCAATTTCACTTGTTGTGATATAATCAAGTGTGGATTTCTGACACAGGAACTCTTTGACAGGCTTTCTGACTTGCAGGCTGCTCGGAGAAAAGGCTTGTTTTGTTTCATTAGGTTCCCACTCTCAGCCAGGGGGACGTGGGGGTGGCAGGAGAGGAGCCCTGAGCAGTGACTGGGCTTGGCAGAGGGCTGAAATCAGGTGCCCAGGGCCATTTCTGCACAGAGGGATAAGTCAGGTTGTTTTATAGCATGTGTTGCTCACATACCTGCCTCTGTAGCAGGGAAGGAGGGATTAGACACAATTCTGGCTCATCAGCCCTGAAAGTCCTCACTGAGCACCCCCCTCAAGATGAGGAGATGTAGATTTGGGGAGTATGCTGTAGTAGCTGGACTGAGCACAAATCAGCCTTTCTGCCTTTCCAGGCTGAGTGTTCTTGCTTTCCTTCTGACTTCCAGAGGCAGCAGAGAGTTCTCTTGCCTGCCTTTTTTAGGGATAAACATGGATGAGAAATGACGTGGGTAGGACTGACTGTTTCTGCAAGAGGGACCGGGGCACTTGGGTCCCTTCAGACCCTGTGGGCAGGGCAGGGAGTCATCAGGTCTCTTAGAGACCTGTCCACAGGCAAATCCAAGACCAAATAGCCCTGTTCCTCCTGCTCTTCCCAAATGTCCTGCTCATCCAGGCTCTTCGGTCACCAGCATGTTCCCAGAAAACTGCTTCTCTATGGGTTGAAAGCAAAGCCTTCCAAGAACGACTCAGGAGGGTAAATGAACCTCTCCCACTTCCCTCTGAGGGTTTGGAGGAGGCCTTCATCAATTATTGGGCATTTTGAACATGTCTATTCCAGGAAAAATAGCTCTTCCAATTAACTGAGCTGTACTGGGACCGGCTAAAAATATCTGACAGGCTCCAGATATTGTCATTCCCATCTTCAAAACAGACAGATAAGAAGAGAGAGAGTTTGTGCCCTCCGTGGGAACAGAATATCTTTATTCTCATCCACAACTGTGAATGAAAGGAATATGTAGCAGCAGCCTGAAAATGACTGTAGCTGAAAAGAACCAGAAGTACTACTACTGTAAAGTCACAGGAGAGATTCACTGCCAAGCTGGAGACTTAAAGCTTCCAACGCAATTTCCTTAATGAGAGTAATTTATTGACAAACTGCCCCAGAAATATAAAGAAGACATCAAGGCCTTAATTGCAGGAAAGGAACTTTGTTACAGGAGCATCTCACGAGGGAGCCCCAGCCAAGGCAATGCCAGTGCCTGCGAGTTTCCTGCCAGTTCTGGGATGCCAGGGAGGATTAAGCTGCCTGGAATGATATTCTGCAGCTTGCTCAGCGAGGGCAGCTGGTGCCCTTCACAGCTACAGGCTCCTATTGCCTTGTCTCATTCCTGAGTGTGTAAAAAGCTGTGGGAATAAAGAGTTACCTGAGCCAGTTTAGGTGAAGAAGGGCACCAAGTACGTCCAGAAGAGCTTTGGTTTCCTATTGGCATCGAGAAATCCCTGATCCTCTGGATGATGGATCAGTGAGAAGTGCAGAGGGAACACACCCTTGGAACCTGCAGAGCTGTGAGATGGTCTCACCTCTCTGATCTGAGAGGAGCAAAGGATGTCACTGGACGTGGGAGCCCCTCAGGGATTCTGGGGGTGTAGTTTCCAGCAGTATCTCTGGCTCTGAAAGCCCTTGGCTTGGGTGCAGCTGCTGGAAAAGCAGCAGGAACTGACCAAAAAAAAATAGGGAAAGGACAAAAGAACGTATTATATTTGATTGTTCCTCTCCTGCTGTGCTGTGGTGGGTCTTTACTTCATGCAGGGCAGAGTTTGCTGCAGAAGGTTTCTGAGATCTTACAGTCCCAGCTGGTGACTGGAGCAGAGGATCTCACAAGTCTCTGGGATATTTTTAGGAGAGGAAGATTTTTTTTTTTGTGCAACGACTGTTGCCTTTCCTAGGAACAACTTAAAAGCCTCCAGAAGAAGTACCAAGACCTTGTGAAATCCGGGTTTTTGCATAAGGAACAGGAATACTTCAGTAGTAAAACAGTGAGTTTGGATGGAAATGGAATTTAAAGTGCTGGGCTGGGGCTGAGGAAGGAGAAAAAATTATTCACCACCCTTGGATGGTCTAAAATATCAGGACTCTGGGTTTTCTACAGCAAGGGAGGTTGGGTGTTAATTATTACCAGCTCTGATTAGTTTATGTGATGCCGCAGATGGACAGGTAGGGCAGTGGATCAGGGAAGAAATGAGGCCTCTGTGTGTCAAAGATGATCTTTTCGTGTAGAGTGAGCAACCTACAGCAGAGCAGTGCTGGGAAGCAGCTGCTGGAGCTGCACTGAGCAAACAGAGAGAGACATTTTCAGCACACAACAAAGAAGTGCCAGTAAGAAACACACTGACAGCCTGGCCAAGATGCGATAAAAGGCTGTTTCCACTCTGACTTTACAGTAAAAGCCTTCACAGAGCTCTGACTCGTGGGAAGCCTCCCTGTTACAGGTGCCTGGGGGAACCTGGTGCTGGTTTAGTGATGCCAGCACTGACTTCGTGGTTTGGGGCAGGAGATACAGGCTCAAATACACTCACCAGAGTGGGAGGTGTTCAGCTTTTGAGAAACTCCTCCTAGAAATTAATCCTGCCCTTGAACAAATGGTGCTGCCATTTGACAAGATTTCGGTGGTGGTTTTAAATTTGTGAAAATTTAAAACACTCTGAGAGAAGATCAACCTGCTTTTTGTAGCAGTGAGGCCTTATTTTTTAAGGAAAGGTGGTTTGCTGAGAAAAAAAAAGAACAGACAACAGGAAGTTCTGACGCATCCAGGAGATAAAAATATCCTGTTCCCTGAGATAAAAGTAATAATTTCATTGGTTTTTGTTTTTTTTTTTTACAAAGAAATAACATTTAAAGGCTCACCCACCTCTGAGCTCAGGTGTGCTCTCCCAGATTCTGGAATGCTTTTCCAAAGCCCCATTTATCCCCCTTGTCCACTCAGCATCAGTGCAGGTGCGTTCCCTTCTGCCGTTTCAGAACGGACCATTTACCCTGCCAGAAGCACCATCAGGCCAAACCTCTCCCTTTGTTTTTTTTCCATTCCAGGGCCGCAAACCCGGCTACTTTTCCTTCCTGGATCCCTTTTCTCCCGGAGTGTGGCTCTTCATGCTGCTCGCCTACCTGGCCGTGAGCTGCGTCCTCTTCCTGGTGGCTCGGTAATGTCGCGGTTGCCTTTCCCTTCCTCGCGGTGCCACCTAGCGTCACACTGCCACACCCGGGGGGACACGGGGACATCCGCTGGCCCCAGACACCAGTGTGGACTGGGCAGAACGGGGATGGAAGAATCCCAGCCCTCTGGGGAATGAGCGGTGTCAGCGAGTCCCCCACGCCCTGATGCGTGGGGTTGGGTATTGGTGTGCCAAACATTTGGGGTGTGCTTGGTGCCCAAATCTGCGTGGGGAGGGTGGCAGGAGGTCTGGCAGTAGTGTTGGTAGAGTGCTTTTTACCCCTCATCCTGAGCAGGGAGGGTGGAGGTTGGCAGGAACCCACAAACCCGTTCGAAGACGTTACCACAAATTCCACGAGTGATGTTTGGCTCCTCTGGCCCCGTACAAAACCCAGCGAGCGTGGAGGGAGAGAAAGTTCATTAATATCCTTCCAGCAGCCTCTTGGTTGACGTGCAGAGCCTCCCTTGGCAGCTCTCAGTTCCATTCCCCTATGACTAATTTAAGTCAGCCTTAAAATACATCTCTGAGTGCCTGCCTGCAGCGTCTCCCATCGAGGCCCAAGGTCTGAGCTCTGCTGCTGTTCCTCCCTGACCTCCCAACAAGCTGCTTATTGTTGGTGGCGTAGATGGGCTCTTACAGGCAGGGTTGAGCCGAGTGCTGGCAGTGTGTTCCAAAGACGTGCTCGGGGCTTGAGGGCCCTTTCGGGACGCTCTTTAATACCCAATTCTCATTCCACAAATTGGAACTGTGCTGTCACTTGGTCCCCGAGCATGGCTGAAGTTGTCATCCTGACAGGGCTTTAATGGGTTCTTGGAATGCTTTTACAGCCTCAGAAACGCAGTTCTGAGGAAACCATTGAATAATGCAGCCTGATGCTCTCTGCAGACCGAGAGCTGGTGCCTCTTTAGCCCCTTCCTCATGTTTTAAACATGACCCTCCAAAAAGGTGCCTTTACCCAGCTTCCCACTGGAGATGGAGGTCTGGCTGCTGCTCTCTGCCTTGCTCAGCTATGAGGAGTTTTTGACCCAGTGAATTGCAGGGACTCTCTCTGAGCAGAGGGTTTGACTGCCAGTGCTTGAACCACCATGGAAAGTCTGCAGGAAATAACCTCCCTGGCATCACAGTGTGGCAGGAGATGCAGGAGCAAAAATAAACCCCTCATCCTGGTTAAATGCTGTGTGAGCTGGCAGAGCCCTGCAGCTTTTCTGGCAGCAGCCCCAAAATGACCCTCCCAGGCTTCAGCTTTGTTAACCATGGTAATATAATGAACTGCAGAGGAGAAATTAGGAAGACTTTCTTAGCAACCAGGGAGCTGAGGGTTGGAAACAGCAAAAAAAAAAAAAAAAAAAAGAAACAAACCAGTTAGGCTGCAGTCACTTCAGTGACAGGCTGTCAGCTATCTCACATTCCCACCTCTGTCCTGTCTCTGAGGTACGTGATGCTTTGAAACACCAGCACTTGGCTTCCAACCTAGACCTTGCCAGGCCAATCAGACCTTCTCAGAGCAGCCATTTGCACCAGTGCAGTTATTTTTTTCTGTGGTGGTGTAATGCAGTCAGGTCTCACACACTTCCCTTTTGAACTCCCCCTCAGTGCTGGTGCTCCAGCAGGGAGCCCAGCCAAGGCTGTTTGATTTCAATTTCCCATCAAGTCCGTGCACACGTGGAATTATTGCTGCGGCGTGAGTTTGCTCACAGGGCTGCAAAATCTGCCTCCTTGCAGCCTCCCCACGGCCCGTGGCCAGATTTTCAGCTCAGCAGAGCCTCTCTGCTGAAGTTTTTGCAAATCTCTACAAGAAAGCCTCCTGGCTCCTTGAGTCTTCGAGCAAACATTTCACACAGCTCGGAGCCCCTGGGCATCAACTTGACAGCAAAGTGCTTCCTGCTCAGAAAACTCTGCCTCCAGGAGAGTTGGAGCTTCACAGCTTTTCTCCTTTTTTTTTTTTTTTTTTCTTCTTTTTGCTTCTTCTCTCCAAAATGTCCCATTTCCCAGTGAATTACCAGAGTTATCTGTTTCCTGTCCTTTTAGGTTGACACCATACGAGTGGTACAGCCCCCACCCCTGCTCCCAAGGCCGCTGCAATCTCCTGGTGAACCAGTACTCTCTGGGCAACAGCCTGTGGTTTCCAGTGGGGGGGTTCATGCAGCAAGGCTCCACCATTGCCCCCCAGGCACTGTCCACGCGCTGTGTCAGCGGAGTCTGGTAAGGAGGGCACCCTCCCCTCCAGGAAGGCTTCTCGGGGGCAGAAGTGGATGGAGGAGGAATTTCTGCATGGAAAGAGGGTTGTTAAGCACTGGAAGGGGGTGCCCAGGGAGGTGGGGGAGTCCCTTTTCCCGGAGGTGTTCCAGGAATGAACTCAGTGCTCTGGTCTGGTTGACGTGGTGGTGGCTGGACAAAGGTTGGGGGGTTTTTGCAGCCTTACTGATGCTGTGAGTTCGAGAGGTTGGAGGGCAGATTCGGTCCACAGGGAAACCTCAGGTCATCATCTTCTCTCCCCCTCTCCCTAGGTGGGCGTTCACCTTGATCATCATCTCCTCCTACACGGCCAACCTGGCCGCCTTCCTCACGGTGCAGCGCATGGACGTGCCCATCGAGTCCGTGGATGACCTGGCTGACCAGACCACCATCGAGTACGGCACCATCCACGGCGGCTCCAGCATGACCTTCTTCCAAGTAAACCCCCATTCTTTGGCTCAGTGGGGTAGGGAGCGCAGAGGGCACCCTTTGCTCAGATTTGGGTGTCCCTCCAGCCTCTCGTGCCCGTTTCATGCCAGTTGCTGGCACGGAGGGGGTTTCTGGAGATATCCCTGCCTGCTTGGTTGCACAGGAGTGGGCCAGACCCACAGGGTGGGAAGATGGGGAGAATGGTGGGAGAGAGAAGGAAATTTCACAAGGAAGTCAAATTTTCACGGGTCTCCACGTGGTTTTGATGTGATCTTAGCTTCTACCTGAGAGTCTTTTGCCAAGCCCAGGCAGGCTCACAGTTGTCACAGTGCTGGAATCCATGTGTGGTCAGTGGCACTGAAAATAAATAAGTCAAATGTATGCAAAGTTATGTGGGCCATTTAGCCCAATTTAATTTTTATCTTCCCTGCTCTATTCAGAAGGGAAATAAATGAGTAAAATCTTTTCTGCAGCGCTCTGAATGCACAAAGAACTGCTTGAGGATTATTTATTTATTACTTGTTGAAATTCCTAAAGGAGGGAAAGCTCGTCTCACTTTTTTTACACAGCCCCTCCCCCCAAGTCTGAACTGAATTTGGAAGCCTGAGAAATCTCTGGAGTGGGCCTGAGCTTTTCAGCCCAACTTTACACTCTTCAGGGGTTTGGCAAGAAGCTACTTTTAAGCCAAGCCTTGCATCTGAAATGAGCTGAACAGAGCCCGAGTGACCCAAGGTGGTTGTGTACGAGGCGCTCGCTTAAGGAAGGCTTTCAAGTTTAAACCCCTGACTGTGGCTCTGCGCTGCCTGGTGGGTGCTGGAGTCCCTGGGATCAGAGAGGAAATTAGGAGGAGATGTTTTTGTACCATTTGCAGTGCTTTAGGCTGTGTTTGGGTCCGTTTTCCCCTGGTGGAAGGATGGTGGGTCAAAGCAGCGATGGATTGCACAGTCTGCCTTCATCACCCCTCCCTTCCCGGGTGCATGAAATGTGTGTCCACTGCTGAAGCACCTTGCCTTGTAACCTGTCCTGGCAGCATTTCCCCTGGCCAAACCACACAGGTTTAATGTTTGAAAGTGCAGTGAACTGGGGACAAACACCCCCCCTGCTCGTCTGTCTCTAGTCCGAGTGACTGCACCCAGAGGACAGAGCTGGACAGATGAGGACAGGAACTAGGTCAGCAGCAGATTCCCTAAAGCTCTCTAGCATTGCTTACCAGCCACAGAAAATGAGCCCTTGACAGTGTGAAATTCCTAATGTAGACCAGAGCATGTTTTTATTCAGTCTTTGTGCAAGCAGGTTTCACTCTTTGCTCAGTACAGGCAAGAGAGATTAACCATAGGTGGCTTTCTCTGGATCAAACCAAAGTCTGAGGGGCTGGGTGAGCTTTAGTTTATTGTAATCAGTGAAAAGACTCCAGTTCTTTTCAGCAGGTGCTTTGATTTGCCTCACAAGGGGGTGGGCCAAAATCTGGATTCAGGGGGCAACAAACTCCAAAGAGCTTTAGTTCTGCTCTCAGTGCCCTCCATGGGGGTGGTGGTGTCTGGCTCTGACACTGGAGAACTGTTAGGACAAGGTTCCAGTGATAATCAGTAGGGTGTGACTTCTTCAGAGGTTTAAATCAGACAAGCATAAGCTATTTCTTCTGTCTTTTCTTTTTTGTCTGATACAAAAACTATGAATTTTTTTAAAGCTGAATTTACGCAAAGAGCTTTGTCCCTACTGGAAATAGGCATGCCAATAAAGTCTCAAACCCGCCAAGATATCTGGGCCTCTAAATCTTATTGGTATAAATGAAGGTTAGAGTCTCAAACCCACCAAGATATTTGGGCCTCTGAACCTCAATGATATAAGTGAAGGTTAGAGTCTCAAATCCACCAAGACGTTTGGGCCTCTAAAACTGGTTGATATAAATGCAGATTAGAGTGTCAAATCCACCAAGGTACTTGAAGGTTAGAGTCTCAAATCCACAAAGATGTTGGGCCTCTAAACCTCCCTGATATAAATGCAGGTCAGGCATCTAAAGCCTTTCTGAACCTGGCGCCAGATCTGCTCTGACTCCTCTCCCCTCTTCCCAGTGGACATCTAACTCGGGGTTTCATTCAGGGCAATTAACGCTCCTCCTCCCTCAGCTGCTCCTGGCTCCTTCCTCCTGCAGAACTCCCGCTACCAGACCTACCAGAGGATGTGGAACTACATGTACTCCAAGCAGCCCAGCGTCTTCGTGAAGAGCACGGAGGAGGGGATCGCGCGCGTGCTGAACTCCAACTACGCCTTCCTGCTGGAGTCCACCATGAACGAGTATTACCGTCAGCGCAATTGCAACCTCACGCAGGTCGGGGGCCTTCTGGACACCAAGGGCTACGGGATTGGCATGCCCGTCGGTAGGCAGTGAAGACAAATTCTAGTCCTTCTCAGCTGTCGGCAGAGGACCGGAGCGTTTGAAAAGGCTGAACCGGCTCTGAAGCCGCCGCCGCGTCTCACGGCTCTGCCCAGGGGTGGTTTTATTTATTTTTTTGGGGGGAAGGGGTCTCAGCTGCCCAAGGTGCCCACTCGGACCCTGCTCTGGGCCAGAGCCACGTGACACGCGGCTGTGGGCTCTTGAGATATGATTCACTGTGAAAGAATGTCTCAGAATTGCTGCTTATTTTCTGCATATGTGCTCTCTGCTGATTGTCTCCTTCCCGAACCAGTGTCTGTGCCTCGTTTTTGTGCTCCCTGTTTTAATCCCAGAAGTGCTGTGAAAGTAATGCTGCTCTAACTGGTGTAGCTATTAGCACGAGTTTCTTAACAGCTGGTGGTTCTTAAAACTCCAGGACAGAGAATTGGGCAATTCAGTGGCTATCTCAGGTAATAATCAGGTTTAACAAACGCAGGGGGTTTGTGTTTCACCACGTGAGAGCCAGCAAGAGAACATCATCTCCCAGGGCAGCATGGAAAAACGAGGTAGTAGTTGTTCCTGATCTTTCCTCCAGTCCTGACCTTTAAGCACTGGCTCTTAGCAACACAAAGTTAAGGTGAATTACATAAGGCCCATCACACGAACAGTCCCTCCAGTTTAGGTAACATGGGGTAAGCTTGTAGATCCAGGGTAACCCGATTGTCAGCACAAACCCTCTCTCTCAGGGCTAAATCTGTTCTGACATTGTCTTGTTAAACAGTGAAACTGTAGCAGATAAGAGGAGCAGAAAGCTGCTTGCTGGGACAATAGTGCAGAGTTACTGGGAGAACTGGGGTCTTTCCCACGGCCCTTCCTCGGGATCTCTGGTAGCAGACGCCAGGATGCAGTGGAGCTTGGCACCAAGCACGGAAGTGAGCAGCTCTACCATGAACATTTGGGCTTGGATGATCCTTGGGGTCCCTTTCCAACTCAGGATAGTCTGTTCTGTGACCAGCTGGAGGCAAGGGGTGCTAGAGCAGGGTCAGAGTTGTAGGTGGAATGACAACAGAGGGACCCTGCTGTGTGATACTGAACTGCCCACTCAGTCCCTGCAGCCAAAGCTCCCCTTGAATTGAACCTCCCTAACTGGTCTCAGCCCTGGCTCTTGGTGGGGAGGCCAAACTCCCTCCTGCAAGGGGCATTAACCAGGTTTCCGTGGCTCACATGGAGTGATGTCCCCTCCAAACCCTTCAGGAACGAGCTGTTGTAGCTGGGCACACTAGTGGGGAGGAAGAGTGGGGAGGAAGGCTGGCCCAGGGGGTGCCCTACCACGTCCCTCTTGGTGTTGCAGGCTCTGTGTTCCGAGATGAGTTCGACCTGGCCATCCTCCAGCTGCAGGAGAACAACCGCCTGGAAATCCTCAAGCGCAAGTGGTGGGAAGGAGGGAAGTGCCCCAAAGAGGAGGACCACAGAGCCAAAGGTGAGCCACACCACTCCACTCTAGTGTTTCTGCCTGAGAGTTACTTCTTCCCCTTCTTCTGACCCGAGATTCCTTCCCTCGCAGCTCAAGGAGAAAGCCAAACAGCTCTGCTGTGCCTCACGCTGTGTGTTTTTGCCTGGGGCAGAGAGAGCGGGAACAACCAAATGACAAATATTGGAGGCATATGGAGGGTAAATTAGCTCCTAATGAATGCCTGGGAAAATGGATGGCTAGAGGGATCAGACCAAAATCCTGGATTCCTTGAAGGGAGATGGATCTCCACCCCGGGCCTGCTGGTTAATGGCTCCAAGTGAAAGCGTCTTTTAAACAGCCAGGGGAAGGGACACAAGGACTTTATTAGTACATCTGTAAACTGAGGAGCAAATTCTTTTGGGTAATGCTATGCAAATTGCCATAAAAGCTACCACATTAGGCTGATGTCCCAGCATGAGAGCAGTTGCCAGCTTAACACAGTTGCTGCATTTTTTAGTTCTGGCCGTCGCCCTCTTCTCAGCAAGTGTTTTCTGGGAGGCCAGCAGGTCCCCCAGTTAAAAGGATGATCTTCTGACCTTTCTGAGGGCAGAGACAGAGAGCCAAACTGGGTCTGGTGTAGCTATTTTGGTTTTATTGACCTTGCAGCAGCCGTAGGTGTGTCTGTGCAGTTCGTGGATGGGACCCCATGGGGCTGTGAGCTGATGCTCATTTTGGGGCAGTGCTGCACTACAGGCAACCCCAACTATTAATCTCAAGGCTGAAGGTGTTGGCCCAGTGAAAGACATCAGGTTATAGCTATTAAAGAAGTTACTGTGAAGGCAAGCAGGCACACGGGAGACTTTTCCTCCATGGACTGTGCAAAAAACAGCTCTGAAGTGGAATCTAGGCTGTGGGCTGTTTTGGGATGGCTTTGGAAGGGGGCAGCTGGGAAGCTGGGCTGTTTCTGGCACTGCTTGGTGTGTTCTGTGACCCTGGACAAGTTTTTCTCCTGGTTTGTTCCCTCTGTGGTGTGAGTTTGGGAAATGAGGAGGGCTGCAGCCTTCCGTGTACGTGTATATGGAAGAAGGAATTACCTCTCTGTGAGCTTGGGAAGGGGTGCCTGAGGCAGCACTCAGGCAGAATGGCAGAAGCATGTACAGAGAGCTACCGGCCCTAAATTCAAATCTGTGAGCTGCTGGGAGGAGAGGATGGCCTTTATCTTGGGTCTAAATTGTGATTATGGGCTGTGTTTTCTGCCTTACAATTGCTGTGAAAGCATCTCTGCAAAGGGCTGATTTACAGAGTCACTGGGCTGCTCTGGAGGTGATGCCAAAAGAATGAAGGAGGAGGAGGAGGGAGGAATGTGACCTCCCAAGTTTTAGAACAAAGCAGGTCAGCGATTTACAAGGATTTTGGTGAGATTTTATGTCTAAAAGCCACGCCGAGATTAAGTCAATAAATCATTGATTCTTACACTTTGATTTAATGCTACAAGAGAGGGAGAGGAAGATTTTTATAGATGTTCTTGTTGAGTAATGGCCTCAGTCAACCCAGTGCAAAGCACCACATGCTTTTTAGTAATCAATCCAATCAGGGGCCCAAACCCAACAAGAACAGGAGAGAAGAGCCAGATCCTGGACAGCAAAAGCTGGGGCCAGCACTGCTCCCCAGCTCATCTCACAGTCCAGCTCTGCAGGGCCAGAGGGAGGCACAGGCTGCAGTTCTGGGGCCAAGAGTTGAGCAAAGCTCGGTCCAGGTTCTTGAGGGATGGGTTTTCCTTCCAGCTGGTGAACTTTCTGGATTGCAAGCTGTCTAGTTGTGGTAGTTATCCCATCGTAAACAAGGGAGGTGAGTGCCATGGAAGGGGCTGTTTCCTCCTAGAGAGCACCCAACCCATAACCAAGTACCCCTTGGTGGCAGGGACCCCATTCTCTCACCCTATAGTGTGAAAGTGTTGGGTCCTGATCTGCTTTGGACCCTCTCCTTGCTGCTGCAGTACAAGCAGCTGCCATCATTTCCCCCCAGCACTTTGTAATGCAATCAAAGGAGCTTTTCTCGGTGCCAGCTTCCTTTAAAGCCCTTTCTTGTCTTCTTCATCTCTGCTTCTTTAACAACCTTGCTCATCTCCCTTTGAGAAGTTCAAAGCAAGTGGAGCTGGGTGAATAATTTGCAGGGATTAATGTGCCCGATTGATCTCGCAATTTTTCCCTCTTGTTTTCAGTTTGTCCACAAATTGCTTTGTGCTTCCCTTCAGTGTACTTGCTGTTTATCTGCAAAATCATCATTTCTGAGAAGGGATCTTCGATCCTGCAGTTATTGCAAGTCATTCCCTTTGCCATCTGAGTCATGAGGGGATCTATTAATAGGACGGTGCTGGCTCTGTGGTTTTGGTCCCTGGCTGGGTATCTTCAATGCCAACAAAACAGCAAAACTTGGGGTTTCTGTGCAGTGATACCTGTACAATTTATGTCGTGTCTGCCTCTCCACATGGCCCGTCCTGCTTTGTTTCAGGCCTGGGGATGGAGAATATTGGTGGAATCTTCGTGGTGCTCATCTGCGGCTTGATCGTAGCAATCTTCATGGCAATGCTGGAATTTTTGTGGAGCCTTCGACACTCTGAGCAGTCAGAGGTAGGACCTGAAAGTGGCCTGAGGGGGTAGTGTGTGTTTATTGCTATCTGTGGGGTGCTCAGTGGGGTGCTCTGGAGCCTCAGCCAGGCTGAGGAGCATTCCCAGCCTCGACATCCCAAACGCAGGAGCAGGTTTGGTCCTTTGGGCAGGGTCTAAAATCCATGAGCTTCTCATGTGCTCCTACTAAGAGAGGGGCTGTGGGGATGCTCCAGGGGCTTCTGAAGGGTTCAGGGATCCTGGAGATGGGATCACCTGAGGATTTCTACCTGCAGTGGGTTTGGGTCTTGTGTTGATATGGGGATCCAGAGCACAGGAGGGTCTCTGATGAGAGGCAGAATCTGTTTGGTTCAATCAATGTAAATGCCCAAGTGTTGATGTCGAAAGCCAGTGGCACCAAGTTGGTAACAATTTGGCATCAGAATCATAGTAGAGAATCATGGAATGGCCTGGGTTGGGAGGGACCTTAGAGATCACCCAGTTACAGCCCCTGCCACAGGCAGGGACAACTTCCCCTAGACCAGGTGGCTCAGGCCACCATCCAACCTGGCCTTGGACACTTCCAGGGATGGGGCAGCCTCAGCTTCCCTGGGCAGCCTGTGCCAGGGCCTCACCCCTCATCCCTGCAGGACGCAGAGCAGACGCAGCCCCACATGTCTCTCAGCTCCCCAGGGTGAGCAGCCCGCCTCGTGTGTCCCCCCCAGGTGTCGGTGTGCCAAGAGATGGTGACGGAGCTGCGCAACATCATCCTGTGCAAGGACAGTTTCCACCCCCGCCGGAGGCGAGGGGGCCCGGTACGGACTCGCCCCGTTATCCCGGAGGAGCGCCGAGCCCGCAGCACGACCACGCTCAGCAACGGGAAGCTGTGCAGCGGCGGGGAGCCAGACCCCCTGGCGCAGAGACTGGCACAAGAAGCCGCCCTGGTCGCCCGGGGGTGCACCCACATCCGGGTGTGCCCCGAGTGCCGCCGCTTCCAGGGGCTGCGGGCGCGGCCGGCCGCGGGATCCCCCGCGCGGAGCGAGGAGAGCCTGGAGTGGGACAAGGCCACCAACAGCAGCGAGCCCGAGTAACGCCCGGGGGTGGGGGGGGCTGGGGGCGCAGGGGCGGGGGCGAGAGGGTCCTGTTCCATTTTACAGAACACGGACTTGTACAATGTCAACGATGTTTTTAAACCACTAGCAGTTACCCGGCTTCTCCAGGGCAAGGCCGGAGGATTTCGGTGTCCCCCCTCGGGTGGGGGGGGACGCGGGGCTGGCTGGAGCCTGGTGTGGCAGGAGAGGGGTCCTCAGGCTGGTCTCCAGTGGTTGTCTCCGTGCCACTGAAGGAGAAAGGACGTGGTGGTAACTGGCATTAGCAGGTATTGCCCCCCCAGGGTGGGTGGGCCAGAGCGGTCCTTGGAACTTCTCCACTCCCCAAGTCAGGAGAAAAGGGACACCGGCGTTGTCTCTCCACCAAACAGAATTACCGGGGGGTGTTCTCAAAGGGCGGGGAGGGGGAGGGAGTTTTTATTTGACACGGACAAGGGATGGGAAGGGAGGAGTCGTCGTTTTGTTTCGGTTTAATTTGGGCACGGCAGGACCTAAAAGTCTCCGAGGCACCAGGTTTCAGGTGCTGAGCTCTTCTTCCTTTTCAGAGTGTTGGCAGGTGGAGTGAAGGAGGAAGGGAAGGATGGGATGGGATGGGACATGCTCCCCGTGAGAAGCAGCATTTGCTGAAAGTTCATCTGAGGAGTTGTTGAAATTACATATATATATAAATATATCTATACATAGATATATATATATTAAAAAATGCCAAAAAAAAAAAAAAAAGAAAAAAAAAAGAAAAACCAACCAACGAACACAGTGAACTCAAAGAGGCCTTGAAACGCCTGGAATTTCAGGGGTTCTGTGTCTTTTGTTTCGTTCTGGGGTTACCTTTTGGTTTTTTTTTCTTCCTTTCTGTTTTTGGGATGAGGGTGGGAGAGCCTTTTGAGGAAGGTGAGGTGGGAGCAGGCGAGAGTGGGGAGCACTGGCTTGAGAGGGGGGAGCTGCCCTTCCCCACCAGTGGAGGGAGGTGGTGTTGGTACCCCCAAAGCGTCCACAGCCCGTGCCCTGCACGCTCCTGACGTGGCTCTGAGCTCTGCCCCAGGCTCAGGAGCTCCCCGTGTGACCCACAGAGCACCCTCAGCCTCGAGGGTGACTGGCAGCCCTTGTCCAGCAGCCGCACAGCATTTGGGAAAACCATTAGCCCGGGATCTCATGTAAGGAAAATATTTACTTCCCTAAGAAACAGCAGCAGCTCACCCTCTGCTTGCAACAGACGTGGGGGTTTACACTGACGAATTTAATTTTCTGATTGAAAAACAAATTCTATGCAATTTCTGATTGTAAAAGGAAAGGGACGACAATGGAGAGGGGCAGGGGAGATAAAGCCTTGAGTGA